ACCAGTTACAATGCGTTTTATGAATGTGAGGTCAGAATTGACTCGTTCTAACATGTCTTCAGCGACATGTTAGAAACATGTTTAAAAAATGTTTAAAATGATACGAAATGATTCGTGAAACATATACATATACATTTCAGCGGCTATTTCTGTCGGACCTTAACGACGATTTTCAGCCACCATTTCCGTTACTTTAGCGATTTTGAGTTCATTCAGTTGAGGATGTTGATGACCAACCAGAGCCAGGAAAGTTTTCTACCACATCTCGGCCGCTTTCAAATGCCCTGTATACCTATTTTTAATAAAGTCGATTCACCGTAAGTCTTATGCAACATTTTCAGCGCTTCGGTACAAGAAATATTCGCGATGAAAAATTCAAGACAGATTCATTGTTCGATGTTCATATACAATGTAAAAATCGCAAAATATGTTTGAGGTTAATTAACAAGTTGGGTACTGTAAACAAATTGAATGACGGATGGCGCTCAAACTTCGCCTTAATACCTTTAGTTGTGCCAAACTAGCTTCAAATATAATTTAGATGATTTCTTCACGCGGGCTTTTTAAACAACAATGACCTTCCCTTCCTGTTGATTGTCGTTTTGACCAATAAACAGTATAACTCTGTTCATCTAAATAATGGACTCCTTTCAAACATCATCATGCATAGTGCACGTGATCTCCCAGAAAAGGCTGCTTGTACAGAGTCGTACTAAGGAACGACCGATTTTTTTATAATATGCGGCTGGGTATAGGAATTTTTTTTTGGTAGAGTGTAGGGGCATAAACTAGCAGTTTCCTCAGCCGTATCAATACTTATATTTCAAAAATTTTGTACTTTGAAATACCGTATATGTACACGGTACATATACGGTATTTCAAAGTATATGTACACAGGAGTTAAAACGTAACTCACCACTCCGATCCTGTAGCGATATACCTGAATGAATTCCGCCAGCTGATTACAATAAAATCTGAATTGACCAGCGTAAAGAGGTTTGTTTATTGTACCTAATATATGCAAATTTGCGTGGTGATCATGCGTTGATTACGCATCTATCTTTGTTTGGGTTACTTTGTTTGTTGGATGGATATAGTTTAGCTCTGGTACCAAATTTGACAAAAGCCAAACATTCGGCAATCTCTGCGAATTTTTGATTTTGATTAACCAACAAGAATTCACTTTGCCACCCACACCTTTTAAGCAAGATTTTCATTTTTCATTACGCAGTCTTAGTACTAAAACAAACAAATTAAAAAAGTAAACAGCTTCATACTAATTCATGCATTTATATTTTGTCTGAGCCGACATATTCGGTTCAAGGCAAGAGACAGCACTCGGTCCCATCTTCACCACGGTTGTGTGTGTGTCGTTAATTGGCCTTAGCGTTGGGCGCGGAGGTCGCCCTGTCTTCTCTTGCCTCCCCTTTCCCCCCTGACCCGCCGCCTATTTGCGCAGCCATCTCGTAAAAGTGGCCGTATCGGATTTCTGACCGGTGTGGTGCGACTGAGGCGGGCATTGGACGGACCGTCGTTTGTTTCGACTTTTTCGAAACAACCATGGGTTCCTTCGATGATATATGATAGGAACGTGAGAAGTTTTGTTTCGTTTCACTGGTCGAGCTATTAGCGGACTTGTTTTTGTTTGTTAACAACGCCTACTTCCTCAGGTAAGGTCTGTTGTCAAACTCTGAGCAACGGCACCACATTATCATGCATAGTGCACGTGATCTCCCAGACAAGGCTGATTGTACAGAGTCGCAATAAGTTAAGACCAATATTTTTTTTAAATGATATGCGACTGGGTATAAGAATTTTTTTAGGTGAAGTGTGGGGACACAAATCAGCTGTTTCTTCAGCCGTCTCAGTATTTGACATTTCAAAATTTGTAAACTTCAAAATACGTTTATGTACACACCATAGGCGTTAAAACGTTAGTAACAATGAATTGCAGTCAAATGTGATTGGCCAACGTGAGGAGGCTTGTTTATTTTACCAAATAGATGCAAATGTGCGTGGTGATCATGCATTGATCACGCATCTATCCTTTTTGGGTTGTTTTGTTTGTTGGATGGATATAGTTTAGCCACATCAAGTTGGCTATCAGGGTTCGTACTACATTTTGAAAATCTGAAGTTTGGCGTCTCAAACACACGAAGAGATGCAGGGGCATTCACAAATAGGTATAGTTCAAGTAAACGATATAGTGCAACCTACCTTCCAACAGTTCCCCTTTAATAATATAGTTAGGGAGCTAACTAATTTTGTTATTCAATAACCATTTCTTCACTTCACTTTCTTCGAAAGCTTCTGATGATTTCTCTTCCATATTTTCTATTTCACGGAACCCGGAACCCGTCCTTTACTTCCTCCGCAATGCACAATCATTAGTCGCGATCCTTTGTTTGCAGACATGTTAGGCGTACACATTCTCGAACCATCAGTCCACCCTTTCGTAACTGTGTCGTAAGTGTCATACCAAGTTTCGTCCAAATAGAAAATTTACCGTTGTTCTTGTCTATATTTAGTTATTTATTCTAAGTATTTGTTACGCAATTCTACTATACTTCTGCTTTCCATAACTGCTTGACGTTTGTTTATTATTTTAAATCTAAATCCTAGTTTCTTTATCCAATCCTGAAGAGTTTTGTCACAGGAGCTCACGTTATGGCCGAAAGTATTCAACTTCTTCCTTATGATTTCAGTTGTAGGTGCGTTGCTATTGGCCGAAGTGTTAATACATGTTAATGACGTAACATTGCATTGCGCTGTTGCCACTTTAGCATCTTTCAGTATGGGATTCCAAATACGGTTAAGCGTTACCGCCTCCATTATTCTATTGTGGTTTTCCGTATGTTTATGAATTTCTATGGCTTCCTGTACAAACCGACTGAGGTATCGTGTGATCTCTTTCACTAAGCGCGTATTCCGCTACTGTCGATTTGTCTATTTGACCTAATCTACAGTTTTTCCAATGTTAATTCAGCCTTGTAACCATGGATCCTTTCGTGGTACTGATATAAACTTTTCCGCAGGTGCATGGGTAGGTATACGATTTACCTCCAGAGCTGATAGTGGATTTTTTTGGTCTTTCGCAGATCTAAGGCTTTGTTATATTTTCCTGGTGGGCTTGAATAACATATCGCCAAAAATGTTTTTTTCGTATAAACCAGCCGTACTCGAAATCATGAAAAATTTAGATTCGACCTTTTTAATTAGCAGGGCAGTGTATCAAAGTTCAAATCATATCTATTAAATCTGGCACTGCACTAACGAATAAATCTTTTAATTGACAGTTTTTTTGTAAAGTCGATAAAAAATGTTGGCACTTATTCCATGTTATTATATTTATTATTGAAATAGTTAATGAAAATTTCATTAGTTCGGACTTCCATTGTCTGATATTATATGAAATGATTTGAAATCCATGAAAGAATTAAAAAAGAAAAATTAAAAATGGATAGCTGAAAGATAACAATTATATTAAGTAAAAAAATCTGAAAACACCATTATGTAGCAGAGAGAAAGTGGCAATGTGAAAGTGCAATTCAATTTCGAATCCTTCGAAAAATAAAGCCGGAAAGAAATAAAAACTATTTTCGGAAATTTCTGTTTTTTTCGGATATCTCCGGATATACTCGGAATTTCAGAACTTTCTCAACGGCATATTGTTAGTCAGGTAAATGCGCAACTTTTCCCCAATTTAACCATCTTCGTATCTCTCAAAGTTTCCGAGATTCCAATGGCGAGGATCGAATTTGAAACACCCTGTATAGGGGTTTCTTCGAAAAATGCTCTTTACTTCGGTTGATTGGTAGGTCGGTTGGTAGCCAAGCGGTTCGGCGTGGGTGCTTTGTTCACTCACTCGAATTGACTGCCGTGTTGGTCGGTGGTTCAAGCCTTAGTCTGAACGATCGATCTTCACTTGCTATCGTCCAACCCGTGTTAGTAATCACACGTTAAAAAGTAAGACCTCGTTAATCCTTAGCTCGCACAAGTTTCGACTTCTGAGGGTTGTCGTTCGTAGGGGTGCGACAGCTGGTTAACGGAAAAACAGAAAAAAGATTTAAACTTCGACAACAGTTTTTTTCTTGATTTTTTGAAATTGTACACACCATATTTTATCAACTTGTGATTTCTTTTTGAATAACTTGAAAATTTGGGACATTATTGGTGAATACCGATAATAAAGTTGCAACAAAAATAGTTCAATAAATATTTTATTTTCAACATTGAACTTCTCCTGCAAAAATTTTGAAAACTAATAGAAAAAGAAATTTAATTATTGACAGCTTTTTGAGGTGACTCAATCTTGATAACGCAAAGACTGTTATTGAACACAAAAAAATAATTGAAATCCCTCATAGAGAAATGCGCTACCTATAACTAGGTTTATTCGGAATTGGTAGTACCGAAAAATTTCGGATTCAAGTTTCCTATAAAATTACAACGTGAAATCTATGAAATATCAGTTTCTAAAAAAAAATGAGAATAAAAATTTCTTGGAGCATTGAATTCATCAGTATCCCATGTTGAATGACTTCGTCAATGAAAAAACCTGATCAACCAAAATCTGCTCCTGCAACAAATTTGTGTTCGAAATGTGTTTTGTGTTCTTATGCTTATGCACCTGCATATTTTCAGGAAGAAATTTTCATGGGGGAAATCAAATATGAAAAATTTCTGTTTTCTATCAAAAAAAAAAACAAGAAAATACCAAACTTTTGAGTTTGGAGTGTCTACATGACAGAATGGTGCTGGATACAGCCTGTAAAGTCGTCAGGAGTTCGGATCCCCTTCTCCGCAGGGTCCGTGACCATGAGAGAGCAGGAATTGGAGCATTTCTCCTTAGGGCAGCTGCTCGAGCAGCTGATGAACTCGGTATAGTTTTCGACACTGAACGAGGTGACCAAAATGAAATTCATCATGAAACATATATCACCTTCAAATAAAGTTGATGAAAATATTAGAATACACTCATAAATTTTTGTTTGTTTCAGAATCATATGCACATTGTGGCCGAGAAAAATAAGAATAATGATAGGATATCAAAATTAGAGGAGCAGTTGAATAAACTAACTTTGACTAGTCAAAGGTGAGTCTTTATGATTGGTAACAGTATTACGATATAGCCATTCATAATTTTTTTGTAATCCAAAGTTGGTACTATTTGAAAATTAAATTAAAATAGATGTTAAAACTAACTTATATAAGTGCGCCGGCACATAAACTTTGTGCTACGAGCTCGAAAATGGCGCCACACCTAACATTACCCAGCCAGAGTTGGATACACCTAAGTGAGTATGGGTAAAGCCTAAATTGAAATTTATTTTACTTATTATTCGGACTTTACCCAAAAAGCTTGAGCAATACTAAATCAACCCGGGTTGATTATCCTAGCATCACCCGTAATATATATACCAAAAATTCACATCTTCTTTAGCAGGTTCAGTAGTTTCAGATCCGATGTTGGCATTTCTCACAGGAAGTGAAACTTATCTGGCCCATTAAGTATTTTGAGAAATAAGGACCAATACACAAATTATATAGCAATTCTTTCTAGTACATTTGAAGATAGTATCAGTCATATTTTAATGATTTATTTTGAAATTTCATAATAGCGACAATTTGTGTCGCCTTTAAGAAGAACTTTTTCGATATTTGGTAAATTGACCGTGCTCAATTATTATTTCCATGAACAAGTTCTATATGCCAAATTGTCATTCGCCAATTTTAAAAACTTTCGAAAAAGCGACATGGTTATTATTCATGTAGATCAAACAATATGTATATTATTTATATTGTTGTGAATCATACCCTAAAGAAAATAAAGCCGGCCGCCACTGGTAGCTATAAACCAATTGTGACGTAGTTAAGAGCGGGCGAATGTTCGATGTTCGCTGCCGTTCCAGGCGTGGCGCTGCTTCGAGAATAATGCTACCAGCTTCCATGGAATTTTGAGAAATATTATGGCGCCTTCGATTGCCAAATATAAGCGCCATCTACTCGCCTATCAAGTCAGTCAAGTGAAAGTTACAGTGCGGTCACAGTGAAAAAACTCCATAGTTCCATAGCTGACAGTTAGGAGATGATAATAACAATAATGAATCGATTTATTTGATCAACATGTGAATGAAATAGTGTGTCATCATTTTTGTCTTTTTTTCAGCATGACAAAGTAGGTTAGGAAATACCAATCGAAAATGTACCGCAAGGCATAAGGGTCAGAGAAAGAACTTTTTGCAAAAATCTAGTAACATGTCAAGTTTTGTTTGTAAGCGGTGAAGTAGTCCCCTTTTTTTTTGAAATAGGAATGTCAAACGGTAGCTTGCTGCTTCGATTTTGAATGACAAAAATACGTTATCTGAAATGAAATGGATTATTGGTAAAAAATTGCCTTACTAATCAAATTAATTTTGGAAATGTTGTCCGCCTACCTCCATACAAAATATCTTCAAGAAATTGTTGTACATTTTGGAGCACTATTGGTGTCACTGCCCAGAATTACAGAATTCATGATCATAGTTTATTATCATAATTAAACATTGTCAAATAATTGACAGTATTTGTTATAATTGATCAAAATCTAAATACGAACAACAAGCAACTCAGTTAAAACGTATCAGGAATGGACATTTTGGTTACATGGTCCTTCGAACCGGATGTTAAGAATCATCAAGAAGTGAAACCCAAATCGACTAGCAAAATTACCATACATTGAAGTGTAAGATTAGAAGGAATCCAATCCAATTCATATATATATATGGTTGTTTCAAAAGTTTTGTCCGTCTCAATGGGTCTACTCCAGTGAACGATTAAAATTCGATCGAAATACAAGCTATTTGAATCAGTACACTTTTGATCGAGTTGTAACACAACAAAGCTTGAGTGACTGACCACTGACTTGAACGTCTCCTGTTATCATATGGAATTAACTTTTCATAACATGTGATGATCCGATCCAAAAAGGATGGTTTTGGTTGCGCAAAATCAAAGAAGAATAGACATCATAACTTGTCGAGCTTTTGACCTTTTCAATACGTTTAGAACCATCAAAAACCGCATAGGAACTGACGCCCAGTTCTTTTTCCATCCTACGCACCATTTGTGATGGGTCAGTCTCAACCAAGGTTCTCACCTTGATGATTCTCACCTAGCAGTGAATTACTGTTGGGCGATGACTTCGGGGCTCATCTTCGAGGCTAAAATCTCTGGAACGAAATTTCGCAAACCAATTTCAAACATTGCGTTCATTAACACTATCATTGCTAAATGCCTGGTTAATTGTTTGGCTGTTACAGCAGCGCTTTGGTTCAATTTTAAATCATAGAGGAAAATTGAGCTGAAAATTGCCTAACGACAATATATAGTAATAGTGATAAGCAGAAAAGAAGCAAACATTGAAATTTGTAAAAAAATAAACAGCATCAATGTATAGAGTACTTCACAATTGAAAAAATGTGTTACCTATTATGGGACTTATGAACGCGTTAATTGATATCAAATACTACGACACAGTAGAATAAATATTTATTGGGATACAGCTACAAAAACACAGCACCGGGTCCAACAGTCTAATAGTATAAAACAGTACATCAGATACTAACCTAATAACTGTGGCACCAACGTTTCTGATGGATAATTTTTCAGAAACAGCTGAAGGTTGCTTATTTTTGATCGATTTTAAGTAATCTTTTTGCAAGTAAATCTGTTGATAACTTAATACGCTGCTTCTTCTGAGGGAGGAGACGAACTTAGTTGTATGGTGTTTTCAGAGATATACCAAATTGATAGTATTATCCTCTGTCATACAACTAGCAAGTAGGTAATCGACAGACCAGTTCGTCTTGCGTGAAGAATTCGTCTCTCAGTTTGAAATAGTAGTTTCGGACACAGCATCCTGATAATTATTTGATTACTCTCGTCGTAACCTCTCAGGTTCTCGTCTTTGGATAGTATAATTTTAAGTTCTTCTTCAACAGGAGTGTCGGTATACAGGCTTTCTGCGTCGACACGAATTAATTGGTCTTGTTTTTCGTTATTCGATTTTAGTAATTCGACAAAATGCCTTGAATTCGGACTCTCGAATCTTGGGTATTCCATAATATGCGAGGGGGCATGCTATGTTGCAGTGTCAGTGGTGACTTCTCATTTTCTAAAAAGAAGAGTTAGTGTTTCTTTAAAGTCTGATCACCCTCCTTTCTATCGACAGTGGGATCTCGTATAGTCTTTGTGTTTTGCCCCTTCTGAAGTATGTTTCCGATCTTCTGCTCGTAGATATAAGAATCCATCGCAACGGTAGCATACTTGTTTGCAGGTAGAATCATGGTGTTATCTCTTCGTACACCGTGTAGAGCTTTTCTTTGTTCATGGCTGATGTTACTCATTGGAGGTGGTTCTCGATCCAGCTGCTTCCCAATGGTCAATTTGGATTCTTCTTTATTGGTCTAATCAATAGGGAAACTAGTGTTAATGAATATTTTTTCAAATCTGGGCACACCTGTCGACCCAATGGCGAAGGATTCCTATACAGTGTAACCATTAAAATCCTCACCATATGAATTTTTTTTAATAGGTTTATTCAAAATTTGACTTTGGTATCAATTTCTGCTCTAATTTTATTAATGAAAAATCCTTCATTATGCGGACTTTACTGATATTCGTGATCAGCAGGGAACTCATGTCAATAACTTGGTGAATTTGTGGTTATACAACCCGTTTCAATAAAGAAACAATTCTCATTTTCATCATTTATCACTTTTCCGTTCGAAACTGAAACTTTTTAGTATCTACACTTCTCCAATACTGCAGTACTAGATCACTTCGAACACACCCTGTATTACAATATCGATAATTAATTAGTCACAGGCTCGTAAACCGACGCCGACGATACGAGCGTCGTTCCGTCCGTCGGTCGGTGGGTCGCTGATAGCGGCCCCGAACATGTCTTATCGCGGGCCACATTTTCCCCTCGGAGCGTTTTGTGCAAACAGAAAGTCGCGGTGGCCATTTCCTCCACACGAAAATACCGCACTTACTCTAACGACTTCAAATATATTATTTATCGTTCCTTTCGGAAGCACGATTGCTACTCACATCTACAGTCCGGATTGTTTTGGAGTTGAATTAGTTTTCGTGTGGTGGAGTTCTCGTGGAAAAGCAATACGAAATTCTACCTCATTTCCGAAATGCAATGAGATGTTTTTGGTATCGGTAAAAACAAATCCAAATCAGAAAAGTATTTTTAACAAATTTGAGGTGGATACTACAAAACTGAAAGAGATTCGTTGTAGGAAGTGTTGAATTACTAAGAAACTAAAAATAATACTCTAGTTTCTCAAAATATGATGAAATATCGTCGATTTTGAAGCAGATCCGAATAAAAAAGGAGATAAGGCTAAATCAGACCATAGTTCTAAACATTTTTTGGAATAAAACAGAAGGAAAAATGTTAGAACCCAAAAAGATATTGCAGGGATCCAACCCATAGTATCTTCGCCCTTCGACAACTACCCGCACACTGTGATCTCCCCGACGATGTACCACCAACATCCCCCTGTGATGATACAGTCCAGTCCTATCCTTATACCCAATCAAGCGTTATCTAATGAAATGTATCGCCGGTATCGCTTGCCAATTCTCATGTGTGTGTGCCATAGATTCATGCCAGTGGATACGAGTATCAGTAGACAGTGCAAGAACCGGCGATGGATAGAGAAATTTAAGATCCGCAGCAGAGCGGTCAACCTCCCCAAAAGAAAATTCCCAACGGATTTGGAGTATAAAACCATACCCATGTCGCAAAATTGTGGGAAAGTCTGTACAAATCCGGCAACTCCAATGTTTCGTATGCACCCATCAACAGTTTTGAAGTCGCTTCTGAGCAAACCGCCGAATATGAGTTCATTGACAATCTACCTATGTGCCTCAATCACTTCATAAGGTCTGACTTGTTCGTGGACCCTGACTGCTACAGGATAGACAAATTTCTATCTGCATATACAATCGACGGCAGGGCGGCGAGTTTGCAGCCAAAGGGGCTGCTTAATCAAAGCAATTATTGCTACACCTACACGATTTTGCAAGCCCTTGCTGAACAATTCTCTGGTTATAGTTGGAATGTGTTGTTTGGTGAGTCACTTTGACTGCTTTCCTCCCAACATTAGGACGGAAAACAGGAGTGTGGATAAAAATGCGGATTGCGGGTAGCCAGTAAGATGCGGAAGAGTTTCTAGGTTTCCTTTTGAACGGACTCAATGATGAGGCCAATAGAGTTGGTTGAATGTTACACTGAAGATGAAAAACCTTCCATTAACTCTGCTATGGACAAAGATTCAAGTGATGAGTAGAAAGTAACGGGATCGAAAAATAAAGGATGTGTAACCAGAAGGACATATTTTTCCAAAATACCGATAAGCTATATCCTTGGGGGCAACTAAAGTCGAGCATACATCATGCCGGAAATCATATTACTGAGAATATTCAGCCTTTCTTCAGATTATATCAAATCTAAAGGCCGGTCCAGATGCAGGCGCAGTTTAAAGATGGAATGAAAACGTTGCAATTGTTGGAGCGTCCACATGGTGTGGAGTTATCTGTGGATTTCGCTCAGTTTGTTATTTTATAAACTGGGGACAGTACTGTCCGCGAAGTTATCTCCGTATCTGCGTTGAAAAATCATCATTTGTTCTCAGCCTCCACGCTTTTTCTTCCTCAACTCAGGCTATTTTGCTTTATTTGTAGTATTTTTTATAATCAGTGATAATCATGGAGGAGGTACTACTCTGGTCAATTTTGGCTTGCTGTCTTGTGAAAAATGAAAGATTGAAACGTCTCAGAAGTACCAGGCGTTCGAAGTGGTCGCGGAAGTGGCTACTAAAAAGGCAGCACTTTTCCCATATTACATTACTGCGTGAATTACGTGATGAACCTAATGATTGGAGGAACTACGTGAGAATGGACATAGAAACGTATACCTATTTATTGGAATTAGTAACACCGCATATCATCAAAGAAAATACTTGTATGAGAACAGAAATATCACCACATGAAAGGCTGACAGCAACTTTAAGATTTTTGGCAACTGGCAGAAGTTACAAAGACCTAGAATTCACAACAATAATATCGAAACAATCCTTAAGTGAAATCATTCCCGAAACATGCAAAGCTATCTTCAAGGATCAGATTAGAGGAGCTTATATCGTCGAAAACTACAGCCACAACGGTTGTACGAAGATTATCAAGGCTTCGGTTTTGGAGTCAATTTGAAAATTGATTTGAAACTGATATCCTAGAAAACACAGTCTTGAGAAGGAAGAAGTACAGACTATTCGCCGTCTTGTACCACGACGGCAAAGAGGTCAACAAGAGCCTTAACCGATGCCTTCCACGTCGCCTACAGCTGCTGGCTGAGGTTCGACGATTCCTCCGTCAAGACCGTACAGGAAGAAAACATGCTGAAGTCCTAAGGAACGCGAGTTTCTTATTTACTATTCTACAAGCGCAGCGATACGAGCCGCCGATAGAGAGGACTTGAGAAAACCCCACAAGAAAAACTAAAGGGGTCAAACCACAGGTTGCCGGTTCATATGGGAATGGTCCTTCACGTGAGATGACCATGCCCTGAAATCACTCTTGCAGAATATCGAATGTGGCATGAGCTGTGTGACACATGCGCCGTCCTGTTGAAACCACATGTCGTTGGTGTCCAGATCATCCAATTCAGGCAGGCCTAAAGAAGTTGGTAATAATCGACCTATAGTGCTCGCCGTTGACAGTGATGGCCTGGCCAACTTCGTTCTTCGTTAACTCCGCCAGCCCAAAATCCACACCAAACAGTGACTTTTTCGGGCTGGATTGGACGCTCTTGGATTGGTATCGTCGCAAATTCGACAATTTTGTTTGTTCATGTACCCATTCATCCAAAAATGTCACTTGTCAACTGTTCCAGCGCCCATTCATTGAACACACGTCGTTGTTTATGGTCGGTTACCTTCAGTTTCTGGGTAAGTTGAATTTTGTAGAGGTGCAGACCTAAATCATGATGTAAAATTCGCGAAGTTATGGTCTGCGAAAGGCCAAGTTCTTGTGAGCGACGCGAAAACGACAATTTTTTCATTTGCACGTGTTGTTGAATGCTATATCCGTCCATGGTGATTTGGCAAAACCCGAAATATAGTTTTGGCATAATCAGTATTATTGTATTTATCTCGTTATAGTTCAACACTAATTTGATTCTGAAACCAAGATGCTCCCATACCTAGTTTAGTAGCTCACAAAATTCTCTCGTTGCAGATCTGAAGAATCTGTTGGTAACAAAGGATCTGTTAATGAAGAAGGATCTGGAACTGCGAGACAAGTTCTCGAATTAGAAAGAGAGGCCCTGGAGTTGAGAAGAGAACTTCAAGATACAAGAGCCAAAAAGGAAGAGTCTGACAAGAAGGTGTTACAGTGAGTATCAATTGTTATTTATCCTACTCCTCAAATACATCTTGAATAGGAAATGTGGTTTCTAGCAACTGTTTCTTGAATGTAATTGAATTGAAAAATTATTTGAGTGATCGTGATTAAAACCCTCATCCAGTCCTACCATGGGAAAAATGAACTTCATTCTTTCTTCATTCAGAGACCTAACAAGTTATCGAATAACCTCTTTTCACAGGTTGGACAAAAAGCTGTCTAATCTCCTGCGTCGCAACGACATTAGCAATTCGGATATTTCTGATGACGGAAAAACGGCTTCCATCGACAGCCTTAGCATCGTAACCACGTCTTCGTATTCCCAACCAAGCGCACCCAGGGTCACTTTATCCGGACCCGTGACTGATCTGTAGCTCTCTTTTCTACCATATGAATCGATATTTTCGACATGGTATAACTTTTATAAGTGTTTGCGATAGTAAATACTCCATGGCTATGTACATTGAGAATGTATACAGTCCAAGGTCGCATCGAAAACAATACTTTTGCTAGATTTTACTAAACACAACACATGTTTCGCTATACGTTAGCCTCTTCAGATATGACTGATTGTATTAGTCATCTCCAAGGTTATATTATAGCGAAACACATGCTTTACTTTAGTAAATTGGCTGTGCCAAAAACTCACAGCAAATCATTTTCATTTTATTCGTCACTGAAAATATTTTTCATCTGAGTAAGAACAAACATTAAAATGCTATATTTTAAACCTGGTATGAAGCCCATATACGAGGATAGTCCTAGTACCCTTCCTTTTATAGGTGAATACAATAGGCTATTATTATAGGTCAATACTCGTTTTATAGTGCTGTTCATTGTAAGCAGGATTCCGTTTATAGTGAATTTAGTATAAATTGCAAACTTCTAAGAACTGCAGAGCCACTATTATAGAAAACCTAATATTTTGCTAATAGAGCATGTAGGCACTTGAATATATGCATACTTGCTAGTTGAATTGCTCCGGATTGCAGGTGAACTATTTTTATCATAATCTACGTATTATTCAACGAATGTTAGCCTCATGAATGTTAACCTAACCGCGCTCAGCTGATGGACCGATATTCATATCTCTCTATCTCACTGCTAATTTATTCTGCCGTTCTTTTTTTCGACCCACAAACATCTCTGTGTACGCAACGTTGCCATTCATAAATTTTAGTCGCTGAATGTATTTCACTTTTTTACATTCATTCAATAAACATTGATGCTCTTGAATACATTTCATTGGCAGGAAGCTTCTTTAAATCTTTAAATAACAGCTGCCTGTCTATGATTTAAATAGATGAAACATATATAATCACAACCTGACAACAATGTTTTCGTTTTAATGCAATAATATTTCTGAGACATAATAGTGCCTACTATTATGGAATTTTAGTATAGCAATATTCATATATTCTCAGCTTCGTCTATCTATTTTTTTTCAAAATGACGAAGATTGGTTGACTCTGGGTTCTTGGACTGCAACCTATTTACACAAATATCATTTTGTTTATTTGGCCTTTAATACAATGCTTTGTGACACGAAACAACTGACGAGTTAAACATTCCATCAACGAGGAAGGTGTGGATAATAATCGACGTTAACCCATTTTTGTTTTAATTATTCCAATTCGATATTATTATCGAATGTATAATGTTCTTATTTAAAAACTAGCATATGTGGTTCATGCACTTGCGACCACTTTCAATAATCCCAAGAACTATTTGAATCAGTTACAGTTAAAGATATGTTTCAACATTACCAATCTAAAATTTATCATGATTTGTCTGCGAGATCAACAACTTTTTCATTTCAAATTATTAACGGTACATATACTTAGTTCTTAATTGTTAGCACTCTGACTTTTCAATACATAGAAGAAGGGAAAAAGAAATAGATGTAAAAACCATGAAAAGAGTAGCAACAAAACTTTTTTCAGATAAATAGCCTCTCACAAAATTGAAATGAGATAATCTGAAAGATTCAATAGTTTTTCACCAGCCTCTGCATCAGAGTGAGGGAATTGTAGTCAAATCATGAATATTTTAGACAATTTAGATACTTAGACTATTAATATAATTACTCCTGTAGTCAATTTTATTGACAATAGTAGTAAAATAGACTCATTTCGGGAAAGTATCCATATCCTGAAATGAATAAAAAATTTGCTGTGTAAGGGCCGGAATTTTACGATCCGAATAAATTAAATTGAACATTGGTTATCTTTAATTCTGAATCAAAAAGTAATCATGTTTATAAATATGCAATCATGCTTCCATAAAATCTATTATGGTATTTATTGGTCATCAACTTTGAGAAGATTATCAATGAAACCATAAAAATGATCAAGGTAACGTTATCAATGTCACAAAATAGGGACTTTTGATAACTATGGTTACATTAAAACACAATTAATTTAACGACTCTGATTCACTAATCGCAAAGTACAGGCCCTTAGAGACATTTGAAAAGCAAAACCTAATATAAGTATCCATCCATTCGTGAGTAAAGCTCCATGTAGTGTGCCTTTTTAGTGCTTTAATGTTACTCTTCTTGCTCGTTATTTTCAAATTTAATAGTCGATAATGTGAATAATTTATCTAATAATAATCACTTACTGAATTTATCTCAAGTGTAGGTACTGTAATGTAATGATCTGATTCATGGGAAAGTATGGCAGTGGAGGATTCATCTTTTATATTTTATTGGGAAATTCCATTGTTCATTCTTCTTGTAATTCAGATAAACGTGATCGAAGACAAAATTCCACTGAATTTTCCAAAATGTTTATTGTGATTAATATTTATTATATTTTTGGTGAAGTATTTGAACAATGCTAGAATTTAAGGTTTGTTAAGATATATACAAATCAATGAAAATTTTTGTGTACAATACTCCTTCGTTGTGTTCCTTTGTTTTTAGTTAAGTTCATATTTTTTTAAGAGTCCATTTACACCCATTTCAGGAATCTCCTCTGAATTACTTTGATTTTTTTCACGAAAACATCTGATGAAAGAAGTGAGTTGTAAGAAATACGTGTCTGTGAATAAATGACAGTCAATTTGTATCCAAACCTCATTTACTACATCACAAGTTTTCCTTAGAAGTTTTGTGGACAATTTTCTTGTATTTCAGGGTCGCTTCAAGTATCATATATAATTATTATTTGTAAAATATCTCTTCTAACATTGAGCACCCTCAATGATATATTATTAAAAAAAGGTGAAATTTTCACTACCATTGTGGGTACCTTTCGAAAAATATTAAATGCTAAGGAAGGTTTGACTGATTATCATCTCAACAATTTTTCTGAATTTCGAAACGAGGTTTCTGAGTAGTAAGAGAATATGATGAAAATCGTTTTCATTTTCGTTACAATCGATTTTAATATAGAAATAATTTGAATTATTTAATTTTTGATTTTTAGTTTAGAGGAGTTTGCAATTGACTACTCACAATATAAAAGCAATGTTTTTGGATGTGAATGTCACATTCCGAACGATAATATCGGCTTACGTTTACAATTTGAATTATGTTTTGTGCAGCATGTGGATGATCTTCAGACATCTTAGTAGAAACACTATATTTCGCCATATCAAAATGAAAACATTTTCTCTTTGAAGGAAATATCTTCGTGAAGTGCTTGTAGATTTAAGTAAAGATTATAGTTATTCATTTCATAATTTAATATAATATTACATTACCATAACTGCAGCGTCATATTTCTGATACGTTGCAAAATCTCTTTCTGTCCTTGTCAAATTATTTTGTTTCGAACAATTTTTACTGTCGATATACAAGCAATGCATGAGATCTTTTTTGTAAGTGTTAGTGGATGATGGTGACAAATTTTGTTGAAAGTTTGATACTGAGACACCTTTCATGTTTTATTTCACCAGGGTTAGTATGCCTTATTATATTGTATATATGTTTGTCGAATTTGAAACCCTAATTTTTTTGTATGAACGATTCAGTCATACCTTTATATCTGCTTTGTGACTCTATTTCCACTCAATTTTACTATTGAACTTTGAAAGTTTCACTTAAGATACAAGTTCCTATAACTATGATTTAAAATTTATCATTCCATGATGTTACAGGGTTTTAAATAATGGCTTCCGAAGTTAAATAGTAGATTTGATTAATTTGAAATAGATAATCGATGATAACTTATACAAAAAAAAAAACTATAATGTGAAATTTCCACTTGACAGTTTACAAAACCGCGGTATTATTGATGAAAAAAATTAATTTTTTTTCTAAGACTATGCAAATTTTATATGTTGCAGTCCAATTGAGAGGTTTTTGTTTATTGGATGTACAACAGAATTTCATCTAGATATATTCGTTTGTAACAAACGTTAACAACGTTTTGTAAGACTGTCCATATTTGAGGGCTAAGGTATTACAGTAACAAACAAGTAAATTTTAAAATATTGGAAAAATAATGCACTGATGGTAGATATTGAAAATTGAAAAAGATTCAATATTTGACTTATCCCTATCATTTTAAGCTCATTACAATCTGTTTATAAGTTACCTATGAATATATTGGAAATTGACTTATAATCTTTGTCCAAAGTAAGAACAGTCAGCATGGGAAAATCGGAAACTATGAGAGATACAAAGTTAGAGCAATCACCCCCTGCCTATACATTAACGGTTAATATTTTGTTTGTCGAACAATCTGTAATAATATAGGTACTGGGATTTTTGATGATATACAAATATATTTTTATAACATTTACACGCTTTGTTTTCTTGACTTCATCCCTTCCGCAAACATTCGCTGGTGAGAATATCAACACTTGCCATAATAGCGAAATTATTGATAGCCCGGATAGGAGTACATGAGACAAGTCTTAGAGCTTGTTGGCAAAGTGTTTTCGGATTCTCGAGTTGTTTTTATTACCTTAAAAGTAACCTCTATCTACGGTGTGTCCAGCTAGATAGTTTAAGAAAAAAATCGTTGAATCAAAACGCTTTCTTTCAAATGATTGATGATTGAAAAATTGATGATCGAAAAATTTCACAAACTTGTTTGTACAATAAATATAAAAACTTCGTTCCAAAATATCTTCGAAGACATTTTCGTTTAGTTTCCATTTCGTCAACATACGGACCCGTTCCAATTAGAACGAGCCATCCTGAATAATTGATTTGATATTGAGACATTAAAAAAATCGCAAATCAAAATTCAAGTTTTCAGGGGTAATGACAGAGAGAAAAATATATTTTTAAATTTTTTCCAGTTCGAAACTAGGGCAACACGAACACACAATTTGACCAATTGAAATGTTCAAACTGAACAGTATTGGATAATATTAATGAAAATAACTGAAGTGATAATTTACGATTGAACATTTCTTAGTTGAGTGGTCCTAAATTCCATCACTTAGTTTCTGCTTAAGTTGATGGTAATATGTATGAAATCGAGTTATTATTTCGTTTATCATCTTTTCTTTTAATAAAAATGGTTCATACACTTTAGGAGGGGATTGAACTTTCTAAATTTCTAAAGAATGGCCAACCATATACCCCGATTTGACTCCGCTGGACTTTTTTCTATGGGGATAGTTGAAATCAAAAGTATGTAAGACACAATCATTACTGTAGATTTGCAACAAGAGATTACCAGGTGCTATAGCCTACAAACACCTGATATTCTTCTGAATATGAGGTAGGAAATATAATCTTGTTTCCAGTGTTGCGATCTTTGTTCGGGTTTGAAGGTCGTCGAGGTTTGGAACTGTATTGTTTGGAACTGTACAGGTAGCCTGCCTTTCTAGTTGGTGCGTTGTTATTGGCCGAAGTGCTATTACCTGTTACATTGCGTTGCACCGCTGCCACCTTAGCATCTTTTAGTATGGGATTCCAAATCAGGTTAAGCGTTTTCGCCTCCTCTTTTCTGTTGTAGTTTTCTGGATGTTTATGGATTTTTTTTTGAATGATGCAAATAATTTTCCTTTATTTTCAGTATTTTAATATTAAATTTCACAAA